GACCGTGGCGGTAGGTACCAAATGGCACTTGGCAACGACACCGATGCCGACGACGACAGCGACAACGACGACTTCGACGCCGCCGACACCGACTACGACGACACACGCGACGTCCCCAACGACTTCGACGACGACGACGACGACGACGACGACGACGACGACACCGACGACGACGACGACGACGACGCCGACGCCGACGACGACGCCGACGCCGACGACGACGCCAACGACGACGACGACGACGACGACAACGACACCGACGACGACGACGAGGACGATGACGACGACGTCGCCAACGACAACGACGAGGGAGGAGGGAGGACCGCGACGACGCGAACGACGAAGAAGTAGGGAGGACGGCGACGCCGACGACGACGACGACGAGGTAGGAGGGAAGACGACGACGACGACGACGACGGCGACGATATAGGATAGACGACGACGACGATACGCCGACGACGGACGACGACGACGACGACGACGAGGGAGGAGGAAGGACGACCACGGCGACAACGGCGGAAACGACGCCGACGCCAAAGAGGACGACGACGACGACGACGAGGAAACAGAGGACGACGACGACGAGGACGACGACGACGAGGGAGGATGGAGGACGGCGACGACGACGACGACGCAAGAGCGCGCGCGCACGCTTTTGTTGAACATCCGTGTTGTGAAACCCTGTTTTGTGTGTTTTGGAAACTCGATTTTGAAATCCTTCCGAAATCGAGAGTTTTTGACGGACTTCAGCATGCGCGCGTGACGACGCGCGCGCGTGCACTTCGTCGCATTTTTTGCAAAGGATTCTCGCGACGGCACGCGCGCAAGGGCGTTCGACAGATTTCGACATGCGCGCGCGAAGCCCGTTTGGTAGTACTGTCTGGGACAATCTTGAAACACCTATGGTTTTCTCAAGGTTTCGCAAGAGCGCGCGCGTAATCTTTTTTAGAAAACCAATGTTGCGAAACCCTGTGTTTTTGTATTTGTTTTGGACGCCCGATGTCGAAATCCTTCCGACACCGCAGGTGTTTGAAGGATTTCGGCATGCGCGCGCGACGACGCGCGCTTGCACTTCGCAATTTTTTTTTTGCAAGGGGTTCTTGAAAACTTATGAGTGTTGATCAACGAGAGTGCGCGCATAGTATGTTTTGCATAAGATGGCGGGGGGGGGGTTCGATACCGGCCTGGCTGGGATAGTCTGAATTCACAAGTCGGGTGGACATTGGATCACAATCCTATGTGTTTTGCATCGGTTCCCGGGGGATCTTTAACCCCTGGGGGGGAGAAGGGAGGGTGGTAGACCATATTTCCTTGATAGAAAAGAGAATTAAGAAAGCTACGCGGTGCAAGCTGTGCGGTCGCCCACGGGGCGCTCACAAGGCGCTCACGAGCGGGCACCAGGCGAAACCTTGGCAGGCTCACCCAGCGCACGAGGCGCCCACGAGGCGCCCACGGGCGGCCACTCGGCGAAGCCTCAACACACCCACCCAGCACACAAGGCGTCCACAAGGCGCCCACGGGCGGCCACCAACCGGGCCGGCGAAAAGAGACAGTGCAAGCCGAGCAGCTTCCTTCAAGCATTTAGAACGCACAGCCAATGAACAACACTATTTGGTAGATTGCGGGGTGCCTGGTGTAACCTATGGCGCAATGTATGACGCAGCCGTGTATTCCATGATGCACCAGACGAACTTCCCTAAAGCAGCGAGCGCCGTGCGGGTTCCTCCAATCATTTACAACGCACAGCCAATACAAAAACGACGATGAGGTGAATTGCATTGTGCCTGGCGCAACCTATGGCGCAATATGTTGCGCAATGGGACGCTCAATCGGCAACGGACACTTGTGGTGGATTGCAGGGTGCCTGGCGCAACCTATGGCGCAATCGATTGCGTATTGGTGTATCCATCAAGCCATGGACATGTTGGTGGATTGTGGAATGCCTGCTGTAATATATGCGCGCGATATGTGGCGTAACCGTGCAGTCAATAATGCGGCAGACGAGGTTCTCGAAACAGCGAAGACGGTGCGGGCTCCTCCCAACATTTAGAACGAACAACCGATAACAAACAATGGTATGGTAGATTGCACTGTGTCTGGCACAACCTGTGGCCCAACCTGTTGCGCAATCGGCAACGGACAGTTTCGGTAAATTGCAGGGTCCCTGGCGCAACATATGGCGCAATGGTGCACCCAATGAAGGCCCAGGCCTTAAGAGAGGAGGCTCCCAAGAGAGCCCCCAGAAGGGCTCCAAAGCGTAAGCGTCGTCGTCGTGGTCCTTCTGGGTCGGCGGCAACGGCCGTAAAGCCTTCGCAATAACAAACGATTTGGTGGATTGGCGGGTGCCTGGCGCAACCTATTGCATCCGTTGGTGCACTGGTACACAGACTAGTGTCTCCCGCAACGGTACCCTGGTGTCTGGCGCAACCATTGTTTACGCTGCGTGGTGTCTGCTGCAACCTGCGGCGCAACCGATGGTGCAATCCATGGACGGTAGGCTCACAGTAAAGAACATCGCAAATTGGTTACTTGGCGGAGGGTCTGCTGCAACCGATGCGACAATTTATGGAGCAGCCGTTGGGGACACACAAGGAAAGTCGTGATTTGGTTGCGAGGAGGAGCTTCTGTCGCGAACAAACTTTGGCGAAACCTTCGCCTACACGGAAGAGTGACCCTAGGCAACAGTGACCTTATTGCGGCCACGAGAGGGTCAAGTCCAAGTGTGCCAGCAAATGCTGGGGGGCCTCGGGTGGGCCCGCACTAAAAATCACTCCTGCGATGAAGAATCATTCTTGGGCGTATCAATCAGGGGGGACACTATAGCTCAAAAACTCACGGCCAAGCGCGCGAGGAAAACGGACACAAACTGGTTACCCGATTAACCCGCTCAGATTCACCCGACCTTCGGTCTGGGTGAATCGCGACCGGGGACTGGGTGGGTTAAACCGGGTGAGTTAAAGACCGGGTGAGTTAGGCCAAGTGAATAAAGTAGCAAGTGAATGAGGCCGGGTAAATTAGGCACGAGGTGAGCTAGGCCGGGTGATTTAAGCACAAATTGCGTTAGAGACGGATGAGTCAAACACCGGGTGACTTAGGCAACGAATGAGTTACGCACCAGGTGAGTTAGCTGCGAGGTGAGTTAAGCATCGGGTGATGTAGGCATTGGGTGAAGTAGGCGTTGGACAATGTAGGCACAGTGTGAATTAAGCACGGGTTGAATCAGGCGCGGGGTGAGTTTGGCGCCGGGTACGAAAGGCACTGGGTGAGTTAGGCTCCGAGTTAGGCGTCTGGTGAGTTGAGCGCTGGGTGAGTTAGGCACCGGGGGAACTGGGCGCTGGTCGACGTAGGCGCTGGGTGATTTAGGCTCTGGGTGATAAATCACTGGATGAATTAGGAACCGGGTGAGGTAGGCACTGGGTGATATGGGCACTGGGTGATATAGTGGCGGGTGAGTTAGGCCCCGGGCAACCAGTATTGTGTTCCGTCTCTTTCACCATGTTCTGTGCAGAAGCTACGTTTGTAGCGCGCCTTCTGTTTGTATCTGTCTGGGCGTTTGCACCGACTTCATTTACGACACCTCCAAGGCGCGCCAAGGGCTCCCGACAGGCCCCCAAGAGAGCCCCAAGGGGTTCCAAGAGGGCCCAATACCTCCCACAACAGTCCCTTGAGGATTCCAACGTCCTTCAGAAGAGTCCCCAGAAGGCTCCAAAGGCGATGTTGTGGGCTGTTGTGGGCTCTGCTGCTTTCATCCTCGTTGTCCTCCTCCTCGTCCTTGCCCTCATCGTCTTCTTATTGTTTTCCTCCTCTTCCTCGTCGTCGTGTTGGTGGTGGTCGTCGTCCTCCTCCTCCTCCTCCTCCTTGCCCTCCTCTTTCTCTTCCTCCTCCTCCTCCTCGAGGGATCCTCCTCCCTCCGATATCACCCCTTGCTCCCAAGATCTCTCTGTTCACCCTGGTTGCCCGCTCTGTTTCACTATATGTGCCTCTGCGTTTTTTCTGTCAACTCTCACGGGCACGGTTTCCGGACGGGCTGGTGGGGGCACGCGAAGTGTGAAGAAGTCGAGCTCCACGTGGAGCCACATGGGAAGCCTGGAAGGAGAGGACTGGCGGCGCCCAGAAGGGGGTGGCGCGAGGGGGGCGGCTCATGGGGAAGGCCGAGGGGCTTATCAAAAAAAACATGCCCCCCCTCAGAAGGCCCTGGAGGCCTTCAAGAAGGCTTCCTGGAAACAGGGCGGACTTTTCGGAAGCCCCCATCGTGCCTTCTCAGAAGCCCCCCGCCTGCCCTCTCGGGAGGACCACCCCCCCGGGCGCGCCCGCTTCCCTCTCGCGGTCGCGGCCGAGAACGGGGGGGGGGCGGAGGCCCGGGAGGCGCGCGGGGAAGATAGGGGCCTCCCAGACGGGGTCAGATTTTTTGGTCAATGGCGCGGAAAGCAGCACGCGATGCGGCCCCACCGAGGGCGCCGCCCTGGCCTCAATTCGCGTGCTCGTCACACGGGTCAGGTCTGATCCCCCGGCGAGGCTGCGTCAACCTTTGCCGTGCCCCCGGCCCCGATGCGCTGCCCCTTCGCGGCTATGCGGGCCCGCGGCGCAGCCGCGCGGTCAGCCGCAGCAGCGGGCGCGCTGGCCTGCGGCGGGGGGCGAAACAACCAGCCCGCCAGGAGCGCCTCGTCGCGGGCAGCCTCCAGGTGCTCCTCTTCCCTGGCCGTCTTGGCCCTCTCCTGGCGCCAGACCGCAGCAGCAGGGGTGGCGGCGGCAACCAGCCGCCCCGGCTGGCCGCAGGCTGGGCTCCCAGCGCCGCTCGGCGGGGCGAGCTGGATGGCCGTCTGCGCCGCCTGGCCGCCGGGTTCGTGGGCACCGTCGGCGGGCCTCGCGCTTGCAGCCGCGGGCGCGTCTCGGCCGCTCCGCCTCGGAGTCGAGCGCGTACTGGCGCTTGGAGCTTGGGCCCGCGGGTGCCAGCGCGTCGACGGGGGCAGCGGTCCGCATGCGCGGTGGCCCGTCGGATCCAAGCGGCGGCATCGCGGAGGCGTGCGGCAGCCGCGCGGACCAGCTGCACCTGGGCCTGGGGCACCGCATCGCGGCGAGCGGCCTGCTTCGCCAAGTCGTCGACGAGGTCGTTGCCGGCGACGTCGCTGGCCTGCGCCAGCCGGCCGTTGCTCATCTTCTTGCTGACATCGTTCGTGACAGTGTTTTGAGCTTGCGTCCGCATGACCCAGTCTGGGTTCGACTCGAGAGGAACCAAGATGGGCCCCCACGCTCTGGCAAAGGCCTGGCCGGGAACGGTGGCCCACCGCAAGTCTCTCTGCGCCCCGAGCTGCACCGCGGAACAGTCCACTTTCAGGTGAGCAGCGGGGTCAATGGACTGGACGGCCTTCAACAACAGTTCCGCGGCGTGAATGCCAACTGCCCACGGCGGCCATGGGCTGCGGCCGCGAGCTGCCAATCGCCGTCGCACGCAACGAAGGCCCATCCCTGCCGGGCGCACAGGCCATGCAGGTCGGCTTCCCCATCCACTCTGGGGCCGTCCACGTGCTCGTCGACCTGCGCAGCCAGCGGGCCATGCGGGACCACCCACTCGAACGTCTCCTGCTCTGGCGGCGGGTCAACCGAGGAGGCCGAAGACGGTGCAGTGCCTCTGGTGGGCAGATCAAGATCAGGCGAGCTCAGCGAGAGCACGCCCTCGGGGTCCATGCGCTGGCGGGCTGACCGGAGGGCGCTCTTCTCGGCGGGGCCCCAGTTCCCGCCGTCCTTCCCGCTGCGGAGCTTGAAAATGGGCTGCATGAAAAGCCCGTGCCTTCCAGGACCACGGACAATGTTCGACGCGACGCCACCTCCAGCTCCAGATAGACTGCTGCACAAAAGGGTGGGCCATGGCCAGCGAATCCATGGCAAAATCGACGTGCTGGCCCCGGTCGGCGCGCGCCTCGGCACAAGACGGTGCCTGCCAGCCGAGCCGCGGGGCCGACGCCACAAAACTAACGGTAGGACCTCGCATCCTGACACACGGTGATGGTTGATTCACTAACTCGGTGAGGGTAGCGGACACGAGCTTGTCCAAGGCGGGTCTTGACAGCCGGGCCTGCCGCGCCGCCTCGGCCCACTTGGCGATGGGGGTCTAGTGGGCTGCGAAAGCAGTGTCGGCCTTGCTGCGCATGGAGCCGTCGGCGAGGATCAAAGTCATGTCCAACTCGCCGCTGCCGCACGGCACCGAGGCTGCCGCGACGGCGGCGCTCTGTGCCTGGAGCGTGGAGTTCGCGACGCCCGTATTGGCGTGCCCGTGCACGAGGGCAACTGCCCCTCCAGTCTGGAGTACGGCGGCCGTTCTCTGGGCCCCGACCCACCGGCGCAATTTCTGGAACTGTGGCTTGCGCGCATTGAATGCCTGAAGCCGCTTGGTCAGCAGGGCCGCGTTCCGGAAGCGCCCAGAAGAGATGGCACCCCCCAGCGACTTGGCCATGTCAACGACCTTGAGCCTCAGCCCGCGATGCTGGCTGACGATGCGGACGGCCAACTCCCGTCGCGAGGCGAACACCATGTTTTTCGTGGGGCTGAACACCATGCCGACCTTCACGAGGCTCTCGGTGAAGTGCCTTGCCGCGCCGACCACGGTGTCGCAGACCATCTGTTCCGATACAGAGGCCTCGAAAGACGTGTTGTCGACGTATACGGTGATCACAGCACGCCGGAGCAGCCCGAGTTCGATGGTGGCGTGCACGGATCCCACCATGATCCCGCGCGTGGCCAACAGCAGCACCGAGCAGACGCCATGAGTTGCGATGCATCTGGCCAGGCGGTATGCGGCGATGCTGAGCCTCAGGACGGCCATAGGGTATCGGTACCGCGCGCCCTGCTTCGCCAACCAGTGCTAGGAGACCCGTTCAAAGGCCTTGACCATGTCAAGCATCGCATCGGCGTGGCTCAGAAAAGATGCACAATGAACCAACTACGCCCTGGCGGTCTGCTTCCACGCGGCCACTTCCGCTCTCTTCCAGGGGCCAGCACAAAAGTAAGGACGTTCATGAGAAGACTGCCAGGCGCGCGCGACGTCCAGGCGCGCTCGCATCCACCACCGAATAATGCTGGGCAGCAAGCCAATGGGGCGGCGGCCCCCATCCGGCTTGGGCAGGAGGCAAATGATGACAACCCCGATGGACGTGGGCCACGCTCCGAGAATCCCAGTCATGAAGACCAGCCGGATTTACGCCCAGAGGGCGCCGTCCGCGCGGACGGGGTCCGAGCAGATAGGGTCGGAGGATCACGCCGCATCGCCGATGCATCGCCGATGCATCAGCTCTGCATCGATGACGTCGGCGGTGCACCAGCGCCGTCGGCGTGGAGGAAATCGGGCTCCACATCAAGCCGCATCGCCAATGCATCAGCGATGCGGCGCGATTCTCCGATCCCATCTGCTCAGATCCCATTTGGGAGGCCTAGAGGGGAGCGGGAGGGCGGAGGAGTGTGGCTACACGCAAGAGGTGACCCTGGGCAAGAGTGACCTTTGGTGCGATGCTGCTGTATGGGGGCCGCGCTGGGGCCAACCCCGCGCGGGCAAGCCAAGGCTAAAAGGATCCCTGTGAGCACCCACCCCTGTGAGCCCCCACCAACGTCCACTCTGGCGAAGGGCCACTCTTGCGTGGCTGAGGATTGCGGGAAGGAGCCGCGCCTGTGTAGAGCCACTCCAGCATGGCGACGAACGCGGTGTAGCTCCTGCGGCCCGCTCGCGGCGCACGATCGCGCGGCGGCTCTGCCGCCGCCCCTGCTGCCGAGGAGGCTCGCCCAGGTGCGCTGCTCCGGAGACGGCCGCGCCCATGGCCGCTGGAGCCCTGCCCCGGGCCCCTCTGGGGGCCCAGAAATACCGCGCGGTGACGGACCGCATCTGGGAGGCTTCCAGAAGCCGGAATCGAAGAGAAAGCTCGGAGCTCTGGGACCGCACCTCGCGCCCTGAGCCGCGGAGCGGATCTTTCCCGGGGGGGCGCCGAGGATGACGGTTACCATTCGGGGCCCCAGAAACGTGAGGTGACGGATAGCGTGGTGACCTCAGAATCTCCAACGACCTCACCGCGCGGTGAGTCACCGCGCGCCTTTGGTACCTCGGAGAACCACCCGAATCACAAAACCGCGTTGTGACCCCGAATCCCCACTGACTCACCACGCGGTGTGGTCACCACACCATTCGGGGGGCCCCCGATCCCTGAAGGGCGGTGGATGTATGACCGACTCCCGAAACCCTGCATCCAAACATGTGAGGGAGCGCGTTTCACGGGCGCTTGCCTTGGGAACATTCTGCGGCGCGTTTGAACTGGGGGGGGCCCGCCCCAACATTCGGCGCCGTCGAAAAAAAACAGGGGGACTCCCCTCCCTCCTCCCCCCCCTTCCTGAACCCCCCCCCCCCGCGGGGCTGGCCCCGGAGCGCCGGCGGCGGCGGCGGCGGTGGCGGCTGGCAGCGCCGACGCCCACACCCATGCCCACGCCCACACCCACGCCCACGCCCACGCCCACGCCCACGCCCACACCCACGCTGATGCCCGCGCCCACGCCCGCGCCCACGCCATCGCTCAGACGCACGCCCACGCCCACACCCACACCCGCGCCCACGGCCACGGTCACGGCCACGCTGAGGCCTGCGACCACGCCCGCGCCCACGCCCACGCCCACACCCGCGTCCACACCCACACCCACACCCACGCCCGCCTCCACGCCCACGCCCAAATCCACGCCCAGGCCCACATCCACGCCCAGGCCCAGGCCCACGCCCGCGGCCGCGCCCACGCCCACGCTCAGACGCATGCCCACGCCAACACCAGCGCCCACGCCCACGCCCGCACACACGCCCACGCCCACGCCCGCGCCCACGCCCACGCCGACGCTCACACGCATGCCCACGCCCAAACCCGCGCTTACGCCCACATCCACGCCCAGGCCCAGGCCCACGCCCGCGGCCACGCCCACGCCCACACCCATGCCCACGCCCACACCCGCGCCCACGCCCACGCCATCGCTCACGCCACGCCCGCGCGTACGCTCACGCTCACTCCCGCGCCCAGGCCCAGGCCCACGCCGGCGCAGGCCCTGGTGGTGGGTGGGTGGGGGTTCGAACCCCTCCCCCCCTGAACCGGGGACGGGGGGGAGATCGGCTCTGGACCCCCCCCCTCCTCCAATCGCCCACAGAACGCGCTCTTTCAAACATGTTGACGTCTCACTATGGAGGCGGCTGGGAGGGTCTGCCCTGGACTGGCAGCAGCAAAGCCAATTCCCCCCCTTCTCTACCAGCCCCACCTCAGCTCCGCAGCCGGCCTCAAGTCTCCTTTTACCTCCACCGCCCTTCGCCGAGCTTCCACTGATCTTCCGCCGGCTTCTTCTGGCGGACCCGCCGCCGTTTGCGCTGGCTTCCGCTGGCCTTCTGCCGAAGGCGAGGATGCGCCGAAGGCGAGGCCCTTTCTGGAGCGCGCCATGAAAGCACGCTCTGCTGCCTGCTGCTTGGAAGGACGCCTCGAGATCCCCGGTGCCAGAGGGCGGATATACAGCGCGGCAGGGTCACAGGGGAGCGCGGCAAGGGCGAGAGGGGCTTGGACGCGGTGGGCCCAGGGAGACCGCCCAGAAGGGGGGGTGGCAGGGGAGCTGTCCACACCTGTCGCATGCACCCCATCTCCAATCATAATAATTCAGTCGAATCCCGGCAAGGACGAAACACGAATCTGGCGCTGAGCATGACTGCACCGTCGCGCTTTCATCGTCTGGCGTGGCTGTCTGAACTTGATCGATGGGGAAACTGCTGATTTTTCTATTCAAGACAGACCGTCAGGCTGGCTAAAAGCAACAGCGAACGGGGCTTCTACCTCTAAGATCTCTAACTCGGAGCAGGCTCGCGACATACGATAACAGAGACATGATACTGACTCAATTAATGTCAGCCAGCGTGGACCACAAACTGTAAGACTCTTGCATTTTATAGGTGTAAGCTATGAGGTGCACCCATATGGTGCAAGCGACATGGTGCAAGCAATATGGTCCAAGCAATGTCAAATGTGCTGCAAGCTGTGTGATGCAAGCTGTGAACGATGTGGTCGAATACACGTGGTGCAAGATGCGTGGTGAAAGCTATGTGGTGCAATGTGTGTGGTGCAAGCTGTGGTACAAGCTATGTGGTGCAAGTTATGTAGTGCAAGCTATGTGATGCACGCTATGTGGTGCAATCTATGTGGTGCAATTTGGCAATTTGCGTGGTGCAAGCTATGTGGTGCAAGCTATGCGGTGCAATCTACGTTGTGTGAGCTATGTGGTGTAAACTATATGGAACGGCGACGGACGGGAACGGGGCCGCCGGATCCGCAGACGGGCCCAATTCCTCAGTGACTTAGCAGGGCAGTGAGAATCCCAAAGTGCACGCACTGTTTTGGGAAGAGACTGCTCCAATCAAAATTCAATATGCACTGCTGGGGGGGCGCAAGAAAACTGTACCATCGCCACCCCTAGGAGAAAACTGAATGAATGTGATGTCAATGAGGTCCGCCTGGCAAATGACCCATGGACCTGGACATTGCCATTAACCTAAGATCTCTACTGCACGTGAGCTAAGCTTAGAGGTAAACCTGTGCGAGACGGCAGGAAGACACGCCAGGTAACCCGGCTGCTTGACTAGGGGATGGGACTCGCGGAACTGCACCAAAACCTTGAGTGACGATGTGTTTACGAAGCGAAGAGGTCTGGCATTCGGTTTATGACTGAAGCCTTAATCGGTCGTCCAGGATGATTCGGCCACTCCCGGATCGCTCTCGGCGAGGCGCAGATGTTGAAACGCATCCTGTCGCGAAAAAGCAGCGGTCCAATAGCCAACGAAAGCCTCCAAGAACCTGAGGAGCGAGGAGGTCTGGGTCCTCCCCCTTGTTCCCTCCCCAGACAGAGACGAGCTGCTGGAGGAGGGGGGTCCAATTCGGAATCTCGATCTCGCTCTTGCTCGCCTCCGCAAACCGGCCTCCGCGAAACGGGGCGGTGCAGGGAAGCACGGGAGTGAATAGAGCGGGAGTGATGTCATTATGCGATTGGCTCAAGATACGTTCCAAGACATCTGGCAAATCTTCGAGATGCTGGAACGTGTCACTATCATTCATTACCTGTTTGCATCTCTGGGTGCAGGCGAGGCGGAGGGGGGGAGGAGCGAGAAGGTCAGACACGAGCAGGCGCAGAGGCGAGGTACAGTCGAGACAGGTCCACAACAAACGCTGGGGAAGAACGCGAGCCCCTTCGCCGAAGGCCAGAGCCCCGTGGAGGTACCCCAAACAAAGGACACTCCAGAGTGGAGGACCCAAACACGAAGAACAGGAGAGTGACCCCTGGACACCCGGCTTGAAAGGTGGGGTCGCTCTCAGCCATCCTGCCAGCCGCAGAGGCAGGGCCGAGCGCGGTGCAGGAGCGCAGAGGAGCGAGGTGGTGCAACGAGGGCGGAGCGAGGTGCAACGACTAGATCCAGATGCGCAGGTACAAAGATGACGGAGGAGGGCGGAACGAGGTGCGATGGAGGAGGGCAGAACGTGGCGCGACGGGGCGACGAGGCGATGGAAGAGGACAGAACGAGGTGCGACGACTCGGGAAGTAACGAGGAACTTTGGAGGCGGCAACGTGCTCTCAAGGGGTTCTGGCAGGTTCGAGGAGGGATGCAGGAGCGGGGTCGCACGGAGAAGAAAGAGAAGGAGGCGGGCGGAGGACGAATAGGACGACGAGGAACAACACCTCCCCCTCCTCTGGACCACCGTCCCCCCCCCGTCACGAAATTCCCAAAGCCGCTGAATCTCGACGGATGCCTTCGAGAACATCATTGCTTCTCCAGTGACTCCCTCGGCACCCTCTCAACCTCAAGGTCTGGTGGTGACTGTCAGAAAAAACTAATTTAGGTTTTCCCTCCGTACTCCTCAATCCTCCGCCCCCCGTTCTACGTCCTCTCCTCCTCCTCCTCCTCCTCCTCCTCCTCCTCCCTCCTCCTCCTCCTCCTCCCTCCTCCTCCTCCTCCGCCTCCCTCCTCCTCCTGCTACTTCCTCATCCTGTCACCCCTTCGTCGTCGTCGTCCTCCTCCTCCTCCTCCTCCTCCTCCTCCTCCTCCTCCTCCTCCTCCCCCTCCTCCTCCTTCTACCTCTCCGCTCTGTAGATTCCTCCGCTCCCTCATCCGACTCCCCGTCTTGTCCCTTGCCATGTGATAGGGGGAGGAACTCCGGCAGGCTTCCCCCCCGCCTCGTGCCCAAAAACCGTTGGAAAATCGACCAGGGTCTCCAGCGCGCTCAGCTGCCCCAGCGGCGGCCGCTCGGCCAGCAGCCGGCTGGCCAAGGCCGCTCGGCGCTCGCGCGCCTCGGTGGCCGCCAGCGCCGGGCGCCGCGCGGGCCGCTGGAGGACCGGCTGCCTGGCCGCCGCGGGCCGCACGGGCCGCCTCGGGGCCGGCGGCCCGCCCGCGCTGCCACGTTCGGCGGCCTGCCGCTGGCTGGGGCCGAGGGCGAACGGCAGCATCTGAAAACCAGGTGCGTCGCCCTCGAGACAGAGCGTCGACAGGGTTTCGCTCGGATGGAATCCACTGACAGTGTAATCTGGTTCCCGTTGCAAGTGGCGTCATACATATCTTCAAAAGCGGCAGCTTCAAGTTGGATGAGGCTGCTCTACCCTTCGCCACGGCGAGACACAGCGGCGCGTTATCCACGAGGGCCAAAAACGCGATTGCCACGACGCGCCGATGATCCCAAGAGATGCTTCTAGGCCACCACGAGAGCGTCAACTTCCAGACCCAAAATATTCTGGCCCTCCTGAACCTGAGTGGCCACCGCGCCCCATCCAGGACTTTGCGTGCAGTGCCCCAGCAGGGACCTCGTCGAAATCCTAAAGCCTATTGCCCAACTGCACAATCAGGGGGTCCTCCTGAGTGTCCTTGACGCTGGGGTCCTCGAAGGCCTTGGGCACCGCGGAGCCCGCGTTGGAGGCCCAATCCGATGAGGCTGCTAGGAGCCTGCCGGCGGCAAACCCCGAGGCCCTCCTCGCTGGCGCCACTGGCGACCAACCTCGAGGCCCAAGGGGCCGCCGGGCCCGCGACAAGCAAGGGCGACAGGCAGCGGGCGCGCCGCGACTCCGCGCGGACTGCCGGCCGCAGCGGCTACGCCCCCGCGCCAGCCGAGACCATGAAGACACGCGTGACGTCGAGAAGCCCGAGCGCCCGACGCCTGACCATCGACGCCCATGTCCGGCGGCCGACCGCTGCGAGGATCAGGCGGCCCGAGGCGCGGCCGCGCCGCGGCAGCTCCTCGATGGCGAAGCGCAGCCGCCGCGCGGCGTGCTCCTTGATGGCGAGCCAGTGCCCGCGCCGAAGTTCCGCCCCCAGAAAACAGCAGGCGTCGGCCGCCCGCTCGGTCGCGTGCGCCCGCGGCCCCGCGCCCTCCAGCTCCGCCGTGACGCAGCGCAGGGCATCGTTGGAGCAGGCCTCGTCGCCACTGGCTGCCGGGTAGGTCGTAGCCGGCGACAGCGGCGCGGCCGCCATGCCCCAGGACGACGCCAGGGGGCCCGTCCCCGATGACGAGGTGCCCCGGCACGCGCGCGCGCGACGGCGGCGCGCAAGGCCAGCTGGCAGAGGCGGAGCGCCCACGAGAAGCCCATCGGCAGCGCGACGAGGCAGGCCTGAAGGCGCCCCCCCTCTCGGGAGCCCAGAGATGCCACAAGCCCCGAGGTGCCGCCTGTCGATCGGCGGGGGCCTGAAGTAGCTGCGCAGGCCCTCCGGCATCCGCAGGCGGTAGAGAGCGTTGTCGATATCGCCCGCGGCGATGACCACCACAGCGCCGCCCGGCGCCTCCAAGTCGGCGAATGCTGCGGCGCACGGCAGGGCGGTGGCAGGCGGGCCCAATAAATAGGCGTGGGCAGCGCGAGTGTCAAAAATCAGACTCAGACGATCGCTCTTCTTTGCCGCGCAGAAGACGCCAATCACCTTGCTGGGGTCCTCGGCATGGAAGCAGATGACATGGCGCTTCAGCATCTGAGCATGCAAATCGGCGTAGGTCGCCGGCGAGAAAGAGAGGTTCGGGCCCTCGCATGGCCCGCGAGAGCAGACCTGTTGCAGGAGGGCGTCCGCTACGCCCTGGTCACGCAGCATGCTCGAGCTCCAAGCCGTAAGCCACCGAGCGTCCAGGCCAGCAACGACGCGCGCGAGCGGCGCGGGGCCGTCGCCGACGCCAGCCCGCGAGATCAAGTCCCGCGCGCGGGGCCAGCGCGGGCATCCAGCGCTGTAGAGCGGAGACCCAGCGAGGAGATCGGCAAGAGCACCGTCGGGGAAACCCTAGCCAGCCGCCAGCGGGTCTGGGCGATCGCGGGGCGCCCGCTGGCCTTCAGATGCTCTTACGGCCGGCGGCTGGGCCCCAGGGGCGCGCGCAGGATTCATGGCGTCAGCGGCGTCGTTTGCCCAGTTCCGCCACGATGAGGCACCGCGCGCTCGAAGCTGACCGCGACGGCCGCGCGCGAAACTAGGGTCATCAGCTCGAACAGCATGATGGGAAACCGGAAACAGGCCCCGCCGCCGTTCTCCAGCACCCTGGGGGGGGGGCGAGAAAGAGGAAGCTCATCGGCGGGAGCTGAGCAGGCCGGCAGGCAGGCTGGCGAGGGCGGGCGCCCATCTCCACCCCCCGCCCCGAGGTCACTTGTCATATTTGCCAGAGGTCGTGTCGCCCTTGGGCCCCTTCTTTGCCTGGCGGGCCATGTCGTGCTCCTCTCTGGCTTTGCGTTGTTCCCTCCTGTAGGAGTTCGTCTTGGCCAGCTCGCCCCGGCAGTGGTCCTGCAAGGCTGGCGCTAAGCCGCTACGCGCGCGTTCCCACGCAGCCGGTCCGACCTGAGCAGCAGGTGCGACTCCATGCTCGATGAGTCGACTGCCGGCGCCAACCGATCACGGTAGCGCTCCTCCTGCAGCTGCGCTGTCCTGGCCAGCATCTCCCCGCAGGCTAGGTCAGCCACGTTCGACTGATCGTGCACCACCATGCGCTCCAGCGTGCGACAAGCCCTCTCATGCTCGTCAATTCCTGGCTCATGGCCCTGCAGCCTGGTCCCCGACATCCATCTTGAGTGGCGGCCACTCGCCGTGCGGCCTCCATGGACTTGAGGACCCACAGCGCTGTCCTGGGACCCCTCGCGGGCCAGTCTGGGAAGGCCCCCTCGGTCATGACCGCCGCGCGGAAATCGGCGCGCCGCTGCCCCTGGTCGCGCGAGATCGGCTGGATCCGCGCATCCAAGGGAGCCATAGCCGCAGCTGGGCCAGCGGCAGCTGCCGCTGGCGCGGCGGCCACGGCACCCCCGACGAGAGGCGGAGGGGGGCCCGCGGGCGGGGCCGCCACGGCGGCGCCCGCGGGCGGGAGCGCCAGGGCAGCTGCCAGGCCCGCAACGCCACCGCCGCCCCCGGGAGCCACTCCCGCCGCCCCAGCCGCAGGCGACGCAACCACCAGCAGGCCCGGGGGGGCCGCCGCCGCAGGTGCCATCACAGGGGCCGCCACCGCCGCGGCCGCGACCAGGGGGGCGGCAGCACGGGCGCCAGGCCGCGGCCGCGGGCCAGCCCCGTCGCCCACGCGACACGCCTGGCGCCCGGGCGAAGCCCATCCGAGCCGCCGCCGCCGCCGCCGCGAGCACCTGCGCGACCCTCGCTGGAGCTGGGACGCCGCGGAAGCCATGCACGTGGCCGCCCGCGACGGCCGCCGGGTAGGCACCCATGCGGCCCCCGTCACAGGGCAGCCAGCGGCGGACCTCCACTGGCGCGAAGAGGTCCTCCTCGCAGTTGTCGTCGTCGGGGGTCAGCGTGCACACTTGGCTTGCGCCATCTGGCGCCAGGACGATCAACCGGTCGTGCCACACGTCCGGGAACCCAGCATACTCGGCGAGGAGGAAGTCGCCCTCCTACAGCCCAGCCTGTGCCAGGAGGTGGGCTGCCGGGGCGATGGCCACCTCAATGCGTCAGCTGGAACCTGGCCGCCCGCAAAACCACCACCGGCGCAGCAACGAACTCCAGCAGGGTGGCGGGGCCGCCGCCTGCCAGCGACGCCAGCCCAGCGGGCCGAGCCACTGGCGGAGTGGGCCCGACCGCCGTGGGGCCGCGCCGCCGCGCGCAGGCCCAGGCTGCCGCTGCCGTGAAAGCCAGGCTGCCCCGCCAGGCCGGGCCCGCGGCCAGCGAACCCGGCGCAGGGGCCTCGGCGTGGCTGCCGCCGGGGCAGACCAGCCGGGGCTCACACTGGCAGACGCAGGCTGGGCACGGCGGGGCACGGGGCAGGCTGGGTACTGCGAGCCCCAGGCCGCACCCCACGCCGCCGCGCCGGCGGCGAACCCCCAGGCCGCCTCCTGCACCACCCAGACCCCTGGGTCCATGCCCGGAGGCGAACGGAAGCCCGTGGGGCCTCGGAGCTTGAGCAAGTCAGCCGCGGTTGTGCAACCCACGGTGCGGCACCCTGCCCGCTCCATCCTCGCTCCACGATCTTAAACATTCCATATGCAGATCTATGTTATCTATACGTGCGTAGCTTATTTTCCAGGGGGGAGGCGGAGGAGGGCGGAGGAGGGGCAGAGGGAGCACGCGGAATGGGAAAAAGGGCCCAGACGTCCCCCGATCTGTTTTTTCAATCCGCGGCGCCAGAGCCCCCCAACATTTCCCCAAGGGTAACTCATCGCACCGAATCCGTTTCTGATGGGCCTGGGGCTCGATGACGGGCCCAGGAGGCCGACATCAAGGAAACCTCCGCGATGGAGAAAAACGCCTGCGGGGCGCAGAAAGAGAGAGAGAGAGAGAGAGAGAGAGCGAGAGAGAGAGAGAGAGAAAGAGAGAGAGAGAGAGAGAACGAAAGAAACAGGACCCGCGGTAGCATATCGCTGGCCGAGCCGGGGCCGCCCACCATGGCGGGGGAGGGGGCGAGAAGCGGCCGGCAGGCGGACGGCCTCCCGAGAACATCGCGTGGAAGTGCTCGCACTGCGCCACAAGGATGGCCTGGTCGGGTTCCGCGAGAGAGAGAGAGAGAGAGAGAGAGAGAGAAAAAAGGAAAGGGGGTTTTAAGCCCCGTAAGCCTCTCAAAGTGAAGGAGAACAATCATATACAGAAGCTTTCGGATCTCTGTGCAAATTCCTTGGATTCGCGCCAGACCCCCTTCCCGCGCGGAGCGCGCCAAGGGCGGCGCCAGGGGGGTCCAGCGCAGATAAAAAACTCCGCGCGGAGATCCAATATGTTATATTCCCCAGATCCGAAGGATGCGGTTTTTGTTATTACTATGACCGCGCCGGACCTCTCACCTCTTTCCTCCCTCTCTGCACTCGACAATGATGATTGTCATGATGATAACCATGGTATGGTGAGAGTACGATGTGAGTATTGATGGTGATCGTGAATGGAGGATGGATATGAGTATGAGTACGAGTATGAGTCTGAGTATGAGTATGAGTATGGGTATGCGTATGATGATGATGCTGATGCTGATGCTGCTGCTGCTGATGATGATGATGATGCTGATGCTGATGCTGATGCTGATGCTGATGATGATGATGATGATGATGATGATGATGATGATGATGATGATAATGATGAGCAGATGATGAACAGATAATGGGGTGTCTCGAGCGGCTTGCTGGTTTTAGCATTCCTAAGGGGGGCGGCCGAAGGTATTGCACGGCCTCCGTTCGCGCCAAAATGGCGGGGATGCCTCGAGCGGTTTGCCTGTTTGCATGCTCAACATCCTCCGCTTTCGGAGCAGATTTGGAGGATGTCTCGAGCGAGGCGCTCATGTTCACCCCCCAGGGGGGCCAGATTTTGAGGATGTCTCTATCGGTTTGCCTGTTTGGGTGGCCAGACTTGTGGGCACAGAGTCTCCCCAGGATGCCACAGGAGGCTCCAGCAGGCTTCAGGAGGCCCCAGGAGGCCACATGAGGTCCTTGGAGGCATCAAGAGGCCACAGGAAGACTCAAGAGGCCACAGGATGTCCAAAGAGGCTCCAGGAGGCCACAGGAAGCCCCAGGAGGCCTCAGGAAGCCACAAGAAGCCCCAGGAGGCCACAGGAAGCGCCAGGAGGCCCCGGAAGGCAACAGGAGGCCCCGAGAGGCCCCAGGAGCAGGAGGCCTCAGAAGGCAACAGGAGTGGCTCCAATCCCATGTGTTTTGCGTATGCTCCTATAGATTGGGCCTCACCTGGGGCACGAATCCTTGATGTTATACGTACGTTTCTATAGATTGTCCTTCTCCTGCGTATGCAATCCTAAATGTTTTACATATGTTCCTACAGATTTGGCCTCCCCTGGGGCACGAATCGATGGTGCTTTACGTGTGTTCCTACAGATTGCCCTTCTCCTGCGGCTCCAATCCGCAGTGTTTTATGTACGTCTGTTCCTATAGTTTAGATTGGGCCTCTCGTGGGGCACGAATCCTCCCTAGGTCCCAAAAGGCTCCAGGAGGCTACGCGAGGCTCCCGGAGGCCTCAGGAGGCCACTCGAAGCCCCAATAGGCCCCAGGAGGCCCCAAGAGGCTCCTGGAGGCCCCAGGAAGCCCCAGGAGGTTTCAGGAGGCCCCAGGAGGCCCCAGGCACATGCGCAGAGACGCGCTCGTACTACTGAGACTCATTCACACTCCAATTCATTCGCAGTTAGATTCATGACCAGACCGTCACAACTCAAGCCCGCTTATATTCGAACACTCTTGCGCCTAGACGCTCACGGCGGACAGGTCCATGCGGACAGATGCACATATGGGGAGCTCCACGCAGTGAATCATTTATATAATGTTTTCATCGTGGGCCTCGTAATCCTCGCAGCTTAAGCCTCGTCAGCCTCGTAAGCTTCGCAGCTTAAACCTCGAAGGCAACGACTGCATCGGGGGCGGCATGGGCGGGAGCTCCTGCGGCACCCTCACCAGCCCCTGCCTCGCGCAGCGAGGGAGCGCGTGCGTCAGGGGGGAGCGACATAGCCGACCTGGGCACCACGCGGCAGGGCCGGGGTGTGGGGGAGGAGGACCAATGTAAATTCAAGACTCATCAACGATATTGCAATCAACCCTCCCTCCAAGATACATCTTAACAGGCCCCTACAAGGATTAATTTCTACTGAGGGGAATGCCCCGTGGAAGACAGCAATTTGAAAATCATGAACCGTGCGACAGCACCACTCCTAGAACTTCAGCGCCACAAATCGACCTTACTGTTGCGTCTTGACACTCCAGCATCGCGTCAGAACAGTATTCCTGGGACTACACCACCGCGAATCGACGTATCTATTGCGCCCTGACAGTCCTACATCGCTCCAAACACACACAATTTCTGGGACGTTAGCCATGACAATCCTTGAGACTGTTACAACTCTTAACACGAATGTGCGCGGCGCTCAGGCGAGGGACAATTTTTGAAAAGGCACCGCCTTCAATACATGAAGCTCCTGCAAACTTCCAAGACGAATTTGCGCAGCGTTAAAGCGAGAATGTTTGGAAAGCAACCGCCCTCTATCTGTTAAGCTCTTGCAGATGTTTAGAACGGATGTGCGCGGCGCTACGGCGAGAACCACATTTTGAAAATGGCCCGCCCTCTGTCCGCGAACCTCTTGCACATATTTTAAACGAATGTGCGCGGCGCGAAAGCGAGAACCTCATTTTGAAAGCGACCCGCACTCCCCCATGAAACCGTTGCAAATTTCAAGCTTGAGGACCATAAATGGTGAAGAGGTCTCAGTCGAAACGTCTGGACCGCCCTACCGACAAGCCTCGGGGTGCAACAAGGAAGAGTTCTCTATGAGGAAAAGGAACTGAGGAGGCGGGAAGCGGCGCATTACCAAACGCGGGACCAGCGAAGGATCAGGCGAGGATGGGGGCGGGAGGGTGGGATTTCGGGAGGAGTGGGGGAAAGGGACGAGGGACGAAAAAAGAGGAGGAGGATGAAGGTCTACGTATGCTTTGAATGCTTCCGAAGCCCTCGCCGCCAGGGAGGTGATGCGGCGCTCTCTCTCTCCCTGTCCCTCTCTCTCTCTCTCTACCTCCCTCCCTCTCTCCATCTCTCTCTCTCTCTCTACCTCTGTCTCTCTCTCTCTGCCCGTCCGTCCGTCCGTCCCTCCGCCTCAGCGTACGCCTGCCTGTCTGTCGGAACATCCTGCCCGTCCCCTGTTTGCACCTTTAGGCCTCTCGCCCCCCTCTCCCTCTCCCAGGCCCCTCGCCAGAGGGCCTAGGAGGAGTGAGCGGCAGCGGGCGCCTTGTGGGCATATATGCGCTTGCCCTGCGGGGCGCAGCGAGCAGAACAAGAATGCGGGGAGGCCCAGTCAGCATCGAACCGGGAAATGGATTGTACCAACATGTGCGCCCGATTTGGCCGCATCTGAACGGAGTCGGAATCGAATCGGACCGGCCGCGCCCGAATGCGCGACAGCGCCATGCGAGCGTCGGGCCGCATCGGCCAGCACGACAGAAACGGGTCCTGGACATCCGGGGCCTCCCCCCAAGACAAATTCTCTTCTTCCTGAGCCGTTCCCTGACAGTCGTGGGGCCCGTGGAGGGCCCCCCCCCGCGGCCCCAAACGGCGGAAAACCTCAGGACCCGTTTCGCTCAGGACCCGTGTCCTTGATGGGGAGCAGGGTCGCCGAGACATCAGCACCGAATCGGATCACGCCGGCCGAAAGAGGTATCGACTCGGATCGATCGGAACGAACTGGGCCCCGTTGGGGGGGCGGGGCCACGCCCGCGGGCCTCCCCTTGAGCCCCTGGCCTCGGGAGCCGCCTCGTCGCCTGTGCAGCTGCCCAACTGGGGGGGGGGAGTCGACTGCTGTCCCTCGACATGGGCTGCGTGCTCCTCTTCGGGGCGAGCCCAGGGGGGAAATGAGAGGGGGCAGGCCTTCTCAAAGGCGGCGGGGCTTCTCAGAAGCACTCACGCCCTCAGAGAAGCCTTCCAGGCCGTATCCGAAGACGCAGCACAGTACAGTACACTTCTCGGAAGGCGCGAGGGCTTCTGAGAAACCCCTCCGCCTTTTGAGAAGGCCTGCCCCCTCTGACTTCCCCCCTGGGCTAGCCACCGATGTTCTAAGTTGAAGTCGGTCGGCTTCAGCGAACGACGGGCGTGTAAACATAGAGAAGTAACCATAGAGAAACGATGCGAACATCCCTCCTCCTCCTCCTCCTCCTCCTATATCTCTTCCTCCTGCAGAAAGTAAGTTGACTCGAAGGGTTTCCACTCCTCTTTGTTCCCTTCCCCGGCCGGGGGGGCGGGCCGGGGGCAGCCCGGGGGGGGTCCTGGGGGGGTCTCGGGGGGGGGGTCATGGGGGATATCCGGGGGGGGGTCCTGGGGGGGGGGTCCCGGGTCAGAATACCACCTCCTTCCTCCTCCTCCTGAGCGTCGTTTGCCACCTTCTCCATCTCCTTTTCGTTTGTCTCCCCCCCTCCTCCTCCTCCTCCTCCTCTCCTCCTCCCTCCTCCTCCTCCTCCTCCCTCCTCCTCCTCCTCCTCCTCCTCCCCCCCCCGCCTCGTCCTCCTCCTCCTGCTCCTCCTCCTTCACACATTTCCTCCGCCTACCCTGTCACGTTGTCCTTTAGCTCTTTCCTGTGATCACACATCCCGTCGCCATCGACGGCCAAAACCTTCAGGGTCGGCGGCACCGGCCGTAAGGCCTTCACAATAGAAAAACGATGCGAACATCAGGATGTGAGTTTTCCCATGAAGCCGACAAGACAAGGCTTCGGGCGGCACATGTGCGGATGAGAAGAGGACATGCACTGCACCTTACAATATCACTCACCTCTGTAGCTTCACTGGTGGCCGAATCATTCCACACTGCACGCTCGGAATCAGGCGCTGGCTGATGCTGCTCTTCCAGCGTCGAGCGAGGATCGGAATACTTCTTGACCGCCACTGAGCAACAATGACCGGTACGTAAGGAAACAATGTATCGAAATTATGTTTCCATGTATGTTTCATATTGTTGAGATATGTTGCAATGTGTGCATGTGCTTGTTGCGTGACGCCATAATTAGAGATGGTTGATGCAAGACGGAAGATGTGCGCAACCACCGACCGCGCTCTGCCTTACAGTGGTACCTATTAGCGCGGACATGGGAAACACATCTAGAGATCTTCGGAAGGGTTGTTGGAATGCTTACACGCATCTCTCTCTCTCTCTCCCTCTCTCCCTCTCCGCGTGATCCACGTCCATTTCCTCCTCGTCCCCCTTTCGCCTCCTCCCCCTCCCCCGCATCCTTCGCCTCCTGGTCCGACTCCGCCACCCTCTCAACCCTCCCACACATCTCCTCCCACCTCGTCCGGTCGCGAGGCCAGACGAGCGAGTGCCTCGCAGAGGGCCCCCCTGAGAAGGCCAGAGCCTCTACCACGAAGGTGATGTCGCTAAAGTCTGGACTGTTCAGCAGGCGGCGCCTCAGGGGCGAATGCGAAACGGGAGGGGAGGGCGATGGGGCATGACGACGGGACGAGAGTAGATGCCATGTACCTCGGCCATTCGCACTCGGCAATTCGTCTCTGGCCGCGCAGGACAACACGGTAGCCAGGACATCTTGGGATACATTGCTGTGGGGTGGAGCGGAGGAGGAAAGCCTTAAACCAGACGTGGAAGGAGGGGGCGATCTAGGCTTGGTTCGAGCCCTTTTGAACATAATCCTTGACCGCGCCTGGGGAAGCCTTGCTTTGATGGTCGGGTTAGCGCCCTATGTCTCTGAAAGAAGGCGAGTATTACGAAGCAAAAATCTAAACTTCGGACATCCGCAAACGTCAGATTTCCGCCGTCACCAGGATACCTCGTGGGCTCCTCCGAAGACGCTACATACGATCGCTGAGACAAGCAGAGCTGCGGCAATAACTTCATCTCCCACTTTGGCGGAGATTGAAAGGGGTTGGGAGGTCCAACCAGCAGCTTCGCCCTAGGCGAAACCCAGCTCCAGCTCTGCTGTACCGTAGTAGCGATAGTCCCAGTAGTAGGAGATCGTCGCGGGAACGACGAGCCATCTCAAGCAATGGATGCTGTGGTATCGATGGCAAATGGTACACCTCGCGCTGAGGTGTAATCAAATGTCGGCGGCCGGCCGCTTTGAGCCAAGCAGCCGCGGGCACACGTTCGCTTGCACTCACATGTGTCCCCAACTCACTTTAGAGTCGGGGAGGGGAGGGAACGGATGCGTGAGCCCGCCGCCTCTATATAGCAGGTACAGGAGTTACTATGTACAAAGGGGTAGCAAAAAGGGCGGGGCCATAAGGAAAGTGGACCCGTACGCATGTTGCCTCGCCTGCACCTTACTGTGCAAATGAGTACTCCTCAGGCGGCGACAGACCGAGGTGTCTGGCCAGCCCGATAAGGAGCATGACGTTTTCAGTCATGTTTGAAGGACTGCGTACTCCCATGACATGTAGGAGCAGTTCTCTGTCGGTGCTCCCCTTTTACGTGACCATCCGCGGTCATATCGCGGGTGTCGCACCGTTGGATACTGTGCGCGATTCCTCGCTCCATCATCTGTCGTATCCAGCTGATGTTTCCTAAAAGGGTACACTCAGCCGGCTTCTTCAAGTCTTTGCTTGACAAGGACTTAAAAACATACTCAACATCTATGGTCAAAGTGACCTTGATGCTCAGGCCGCCCAACTCAAGTATGTCTTTCAACTGAGTGGGAGTTAGCGGCCCTGCATGGAGCTCGTGCAGAGTCTCGATCGTGGGATAGCAATCCTCCAAGTTGCGGGCTGCTGCCAGCGTCTCTGCTGAATAGCCCGAGCGGGCCTGCAAGCCGTGAAACTTGCAGTGCGCATCGATCAAGTGAACGACAGGCTTGCCAGATAGCGTGCTTCCACGCCGTAGCAGGTTTGCCCCGCGAACACCATGGCCTTTGACTTAGTCATCGGCATCTCCACTCAGGCGTCGATAACGGTCAACTTCGCCCGTGGGAGTCATCGCCTGGTAGGCGATCTTCTGAGGGCAGGCCTGCAGTTCCCTGGTGATCGCGTTCAGTCGTCGCACTTTGTATGTTGGTCGGTCCTTGGACACGTTGTAGAGAGACAACATATGCCATTTACCACGCCTGGGTGATTCATGCATTGGCACATCCGCCTCTGAGGCCGACGAACATGTCCGCAAACATCTTTGATGCTGGGGCGTCAGCGCCGGCGCCTGTAAGTTCAGGGTGTTGTAAAGGGCGGAGCTGTTTGATTTATTCGTCTTGGTCCAACGTGGCACTGCCGCCCGCATCCTTGGTATATATCACAGCACATGTAGTGCATGTGTGCTTGTTGAGTTTACACTTACCAAAGGTGTCATTCACGCACTTCACGCGCTTATCAATGGCGTCCTGTGCCGGCCATATTGATGTCATCGACATGTTTGGCCGTGAGCAGGTTGCTGCTCGTCTCGAACTCCTCGTCGTAAGACGTGGGTCTGAGACCGAAGCTCTTGTGGTCCGTCTGAGCTCTAGTGAGAAAGCTCGAGGTGCGTCCTTGGTGCCAGTACCTGGCTTGAGGCACTGCACGCAGTGCTTCGACTCGTCGCAGTGCTCGAATCCGGGGGGAGTTCGAAGCGCCGTAGCCGATCCTGGCGGCAGAGTCAAGCACGCCACGCGTTCTTTCTCACCAGTTGCCTCGGCAAGTTCCTACTAGGTCACCCCTTTCAGGAAGGCCATGTTGATGTCGAGGGAAGCAATGAGCCATTGCTTCTTGCATGCTGCCGCGCTCGCTAGTAATTCTCTGGCTTGACAGCCGTGCTGTTCCTGAGAAGGCCTCCGCGTCGTAGGCTTTAAGGTCCATGGATCTTCGAAGCACTAGGCGTAACCTGATGGTGCGCTCCATCTCGCCCATTTCGTTCTTCACGAGCTTCCATGTGCGCGCGTGCCTCGAAGTCATGATGTTTGGCGCTTTAGATGTATCTTGCATTTTGAAGTACCAATTGTCAAACAATGTCTTGAGTTCAGTGCATGGGGCTTTCGATACTCTCTCGGGATTCGCCTGGATGCCAGCCTTCGCGCGGAGGTCGTCTTCCTTGACGATCGCAGCTCGCTTTGTAGCGACAGCAATATATATTGTCGCATGGTGGCAAAACGGTCGGCATCTAACATCCTGCTGTTGTTCGGATAAGACTACCTTTGACACTTCCGCCGTAAAACGGAGTTCTACAGACTGTCCGTTTCCGTCTGGGTCCAGCCCGCAGCTGCAATCTTCGACCGTGGACCACAGTGGGACATGATACGTCTCCTCGATGTCGGAGTCGCGTGGGTGTCCCCACTTAGGCAGGTGTCCCCGCTTTTCTACGGCTACAGTGATCAGCGCACTGATATCTGGAATCAGGTGTGGGTACTGTGAAAATGTATTCCAATGGAGTTGCCTCCAGTAGTTCCTCTTCATCTTGAAATTCTGTATACAACACTTCCATCATATGTGCCTCGAGGTCCGCCTCCGATTCCTCGTATATCGTGGGAAGCCGTCCATCCTCCGGTGGTGGTTCGGCTTCGGAGGCTTCTCTTGCGGTTCCGTCCTGTGTCGGGATATCCACCAATTCCTCAAACATGGTCACATCCTGGTCAAAGCCCGCTTGAGGCCAGTTATATCGTAAATGTTAAGAGCGGCGTCATCTGCCTCATTATAGTGAGATCCTGGATTCACATCGTTGTCATAGTGGACCAATGTGCAACTGTCAGCGTAATCCACCGGAGGTAGATTGTGGATAATCTTGGCTAACCTAACAGAGGCTATATTCTCTATATGCGGAAGAAATTCGGATAAGGCTTTGTGAAACAAGGTGTACCTTAGGAGAGAGTCGGCTTGCACTTGTCATCTGAAGCGTCCCCTTCTTGGTCGGGATATAGCCAAACGTCATAGCAGGTCTCCCCGCAGGTAAACTGGCTACGAATGTCAACGCTGTCCGTAGTGCAGTGGTGTCGGAGCCAATCTCTCTGGCAATCAAAGCTTCAATATAAAGTGAATGTCGTGCATCGCCGTATTGTACCTGAACATCGCGGTTCTCCACTCGAGAGACCTGACCCCTTTCGGGATCGTTTCTTGCGACCGGGAACGGGCCGTTCCAGCCTCCCCAGTCATCCTTCGTGGCTGTGGGGCGATGGTAATCAACTAAATCTCCTTCATCGTAGTAGTGCTGACCTGTGAGAGTTGTCTTAGTGCGTAATGCACGATTGGTTTCGGCTACTGCAGTGGCATGCGTGATAGCTTCGATGCATACCTTGCGTATCATCTGTTCACGAGGATGATCCGACGTTTCCGTGGGCTGTTCGTGATCCAGGATAGGCAAGTCGGGGAGCATTCCCCCTTGCCGTCCAAACAGGGCGTTGCATGGAGACACCTGATCTTGAAAAGGTGAACGCGCTGGCGGCAAGCAAGGCTTCATGCAGCATGCAGTAGTCGTGTGAACACAAGAGCTTCCATGGCGTGCAGTAGATGGCGCAGTATGCTATTTCTGGCTTCGATCGTCGTGGCCCGTTGTCCACGCGCGCCCATCCTTAGTTCAGTGCCCCTTGCCTCAAGGACTGCTTCCGCCAGTGTCGTTGTTGAGGGCACCCTCTCCATCGGAGTAGAGTACTTTTGCAAGTCCAAAGTGCATCCAACACTGATGGTACGCATCCAAGATACGGGTCATTGTCTTGTCCGGTATCTCCATTCCAGTAGCATAGCAAATACAACGATCGATGATATGACATGTCTTGTGTTCTTGTTGTGTGAACATAATGTCACACTCAACTTCTTCGTTGCACTTACCGGGCATTGCAGTAGATGGCATAAACGTATGCCCAGGCTTGTCCCAAGCCCTGCGCTCCCGAAACGTGTCGCAGAAACCTTTGATCAGGTTGCGCCGCAGCTCGCGTGGTACTTCTTGGTGCTCGTAGCCGCACCAGTGGTGGTGCGGCTTGTGCCTCGGGCGATGGTGCTGCTGATTCGGCAGGAGCCGGCGGTGCCTGTCCGTGATTGTCGGGCAGCTTCCAAAATTTGGCAAACTTGCATTTGCCAGGTGTCCGCGCATGCTGGCCGTTGTTCTTCTTGCAGCTCGGACATTCCAAATGGTAGTCTTCCTTGTCATACCACCTGCAATGCTTGGGGTTTCTGTCATGCGAGGGAGAGCGCATGAAACATTGTCCGCACACGTGGGACATCCTAGCCCTCCCGAAGGCGGTCTCGTGATCGAACCGTCGGGTTGTCGAGGGATAGTTGGATCGTCCAGATCAGAACCCCTCGCGCCGGTGATTAGCACGGTGGAAAAATAAGGGCGACCATGAGAGGGGGCGCGGTTTACCTGGAATAGATCGCGCGCGATCTGAACTGCATCGACGAAAAGAGACTGCATCTTTGAAGTACACTGTGCAGCCATGGACAGTGCTTTGTTACATACCGACGCATGCTGATGATGACCAGCGAATGCTCTTCGTTCAAAAGGTGTA